TTTTTTTTTTTTTTTTTTTTTTTTTGGATAGAAAAATGTAAAATTTAAAGAATAAATAATTTAATATTTGGTGGGTTTTGCTTAATTTGCACTTATTAGTTTATTATAATATAAAAAAATGGAAGAAGGAATCTAATTCTTTTTCTGTGTTTGGAAGCATTTGTCCCTTTCCTCCAACTAACGTCACCACTTTGCCGACACTTCAAGAAAAAAACTTTTTTTTTTTTAAATTTAATTTTAAATAAACATAAATATTAATAAATATTAATTACACGGGTAGAGATTCTGATCAAATTCTCGGAGCAGAGAATATGGAGCTTAATAGGGTTTTTTTTAGAGTAATTATCGAGACCAAATGGTTAAATTGGACAAATTAGAAGAAATCAAAGATTTAGAACCTAGAAATAAGTATGAAGGAGATTAGGTGGGTATATTCAATCTGACAACTCGAACCAACTCAACCTTAACTATAAGAGTTGAGTTAGGTTGGATTAGCATTTCGGGTAGGGTTGAGTTCATTTTTTTGAACTCGAACTGAATCGGTTCGATTTCGTGTTCGTAGGCAAAACCTCCGAATTGACCCAATCTAAATAAAAATATATAAAATATATTAAGAATTTTTTTTTTTTGTATTGATGGATTTGACTGTGGTATTTAGGCCCATTTAAGAACATTAAAGCCTAAAGTCGACACTAAAATTGTATTCGAATAATTATAAAATGTGAATAAATCAAATTAAAAAAAAAATTAACAACCTAACTCGGACCCAACCCGAAAATAAAGGGTTAGGTTGGGTTAGGTTGTGAAAAGTTTCGAGTTGGGTTGGGTTACCAATCCAACCAACACAAGCTTTTGGGTTGGGTCAAAAAAAATCCTTCAACCCAACCCGGACCATGTACACCCCTAAAGGAGATGATGTCTCGATGTTGCAACCATTTGAGCCAAAATGGTCCATGTGTAGCATCGAGACGTTGAAAATGAATGTCTTTAACTCTATGGAGATGAAACCCAATGTCACGCTCAATGTTACTATAACAGCTTGAGTCCACCGCTAATAGATATTGTCTGTTTAGTCGTTACGTATTGTCATCAGCCTCACGGTTTTAAAATACATTTGTTAAGGAGATGTTTTCAACCCTTATAATGGATTCTTCATTCTCCTTTCCAATCGACGTGAGATCTCATAGTTAGTTCCCTCAACGCTCAAAATATTTGAGTGTTCATTATTCATGTCCATAGTGTCGCAATGCTCTAAACGTCCAAGTCTTCATGTCCATGCTCAATGATAGATGCTATCCATATTGACAGCAAGCCACGTCTCCTAAAATATGCTTTTAAGCCCACATATATTAGTATTGATAGCGACCGAGAGGGACGGAGTACAAGTGCACAATGTCTACTAAGTAATAAAATTGAAAGTACTCAAAGTATTGAACTCCAAGGGAACTAAACTCGTAAAAATCCAACGTTTTAAACAACTACCTCTACCAAATTTGTCATAAAGGAAATTGAAAGTAGCTATGGTTTGAGTCTCGAATACCGAAAGTAAAAGAAAGCAAAAGGAAGTTTAATGTAAATATTCATGACAGTTATCGATATTCACGTTTTAAATTGATTCCACATTTCATTCACGTTTTTTTATTTTTTATTTTGATAAAACGTCATCGATAAAAATAAATTGGGTCTTACATTTTTTTTATTCTCGTTATTTTATTTCGATTCAAAAGAATTAATCTCGTCCAAAAGATTAGTCACATCTCTTCATTACAAAACCCAAAAAATGGTTGTAAATAGGAAAGCTCCCATATGGGCCTAGAGCTCTTTAAGAGTGGCCATGGACTTAGAAGGGCTTTTGAGGTCTACATTGAACCCGACAATCCAGATCAACTCAACCCAAACTATAAAAGTTGGGTTGGGTTGGATTAGCTTTTTCGAGTTGGTTTGGGTTCATTTTTCTAAACCTGAACGGAATCGATCTTTTGAATTTAGGCTAAATTAATAAAAATATCTCGTATTTTATTTAAATATATCTTAAATTAAATAAAGTTAAAAAAATACTGATGAAACCGTTAACACTTTGTTTCAAAAATATTTTTGAACTTTATAATTTTCGAAATTATAGTATTAACTTTCGTAATCATTTGTAAAGATAGTATTAACTAGATATTTTTTTTACTTTTTAATTTTTTTTTGTAAATATATGAAATAAAATCTCGTAATTAAATATTTAACTTTGTTAATAATTTTGATTATTTTAGTTGTAATTTAACATTATCCGTCGTACGAAAAATCAAGGCTATTAGAGTAATTTTGAACCGTATGGTTTCGACATATAAGAGCATCCTATTAAAAAAATAACTTGAGTAAATAGTATAGGAATAAAGTTGGGTGTCTTATTCTAGTAACACTACTGATATGACCTATTTTATAATTGTTACTAATTATTTGATCCAAATCGTTGCTGTGACATATGTGAGTGGAGGTATCCTATAGAATGCATTTATTTAAGACTAGATATGACATATCTAATTTCTCTTTATAAATGTGTTAATATGATCACATGCAGCTCGATAACATTGGATTTGTCATTCAAGTCATCCCGTACAAGTTAGATGGCATTGTGTATGATATTAGTTCTAAACTAATATCATAGCAAAGCGTCAATATATCCTTACGATGATACTTGATTTGATATCGGTCATAGCCAACCATCAACGTATAGATACAATGACGTGTTTGATGGCAATTTTGAAATGTTATTAGCGAACCGTCATTATATCCTACAATGACACCTGAAAAAAAGCGGTTTGTAATTAGTCATCATGTATATATATATAATGTTAATTCAAAATGGACATTGTAGGTCAAAATTATTGCAGTAGGATTGAGAAAAGATAGGGTTCCTAGTCAAATGCCTAGTAGCATTATCAAAGCCGATGATCATAAGTTATGTCCTCCATCACGGTCTCGAATGAAGCTATTCATGGAATCATGTTCCGTGTGAACCGTAGACCATTGTCGTTCTTAATCGAGACTCAAGTTAAGCTCAAAGTTACAAATACATATATATCATTTGTTCGTCAATTTTTTTTTTTTTGTTGGGATGCGATTAAAGTCTCACCTTGTCGATGGAACTAAGATTTTACATTGACTAGAAAAAGAGAAAACACATCAATTGAGGAGGAGAATGAAACACTCTTTGTAAGGGTATGAAAATCTCTCCCTAGCAGGAGCGTTTTAAAAACCTTGAGGGGAATTCAAAAAGGGAAAGTCCAAAAAAGTCAATATCTGCTAGCAGTTGGCTTGAGTTGTTACATGTAGAACGAACTCAACTGAAGTAGGTTCATAAAAATTAAAATTAAAAATTAAAAAATTAAAAAATCTTTAAATTCTTATCTTCTACCTAGATAGAGCACAAAACTCAATAAAAATGCCTTTTATCTTCTATACCAATTTAATTAACAATGTCGTTTCCTATCTATAGTTGTGCTAAACTCTTGATAACGGATTAAGATATATACTTTTAGGTATAAAGTTTGAAAGGTTCGAGTTTTTCGACATCGAAAGAACCAGTCAGAACGAGAGAAGACAGAGTATAACAAAGAGGGGAGATCGATATTGATTAAGATATATACTTTAGGGTACGATATTAAGAAGGTTTGAGTTTCTCGACCTCTTCTCTATATATTAAATTTTTAAGAAATATATTAAAGGAGACTCGAACGAGAAAAGGCAAAGAATAAGAAAGAATATATAAGATGAATCAAAGATTGAATTTTGATCGCAACAAAAAAGTCGAGAAGAAGAAACATTATATTATTATTGATATCGAGATCTGATAACATTTCAACGGGTTACAACCAACAAGATCCCCTTCAAATCTACTAATTATTATAAAATGTAATCAAAATCCTCCTACCATTTACTCATATTTATATGTAATCAACAAGAAATAGCTTAAAATTGTACATAATTTTTCGAATTAGTCATATATGTTCTTGATCATCATGCAGCTCCATAGATTAACAAAAAAAAAAAGCAAAAAAAACCAACTAAAGATATCAATGTTGCCAATGTGAGTATAGTTCAGTTAAGATCGTTCATAACTTACTTGAACGGATTTGTCGCATCTTGGATTGGATTCCACTCCCACAGCCTATCGGAGAACGCAACCGGTAACGTGTTGAGGGCAAGTTGTTGTGGCGGTGGTGGCGGCGTCGGTTGGTAATATTGCGGCGGCGGAAGAGAGTTTACGATGGCGGCCGGCGAAGTGGATAAGGGTGGTTGTTGTTGGTAGTTAATGAGATTTTGTAGGTCGTCAAGGGAATTGTTGGAAGAGGGAGTGAAGAAAGAAGGGTAAGAAGAAGAGGGTTGTTGTTGTTTTTGGAGAATATTGGATTGGTGATCATTTTCTTCCAAGGAATTGGGAGGAGTAGAAGAACCAGCCGCCATGTTGATTAACGGAGTTGTCGGAAAAGGGTTTTGTTTGGAGAGGCCAAGAACGGTGGTAACTTCTTCACAAGAGCTCGTGGCTGAGACGTCGGCTACCGCCACCGTGGTAGTTTCGACACCGGTGCCAATTTGAAGCTGACGATTGTGGAATTGTAGCTCGAAGTTCGTTGGCGATGAAGTTGGGATGACGTAAACTGAGCCACCAGGAAGAAGATTCTTCGACGTCGATGTCGACGAGGTTTTCATTCTCGACAATGATGCTCTCGACGTGAGCGACCGAGGGAGTGACGGATGATGATCTTCAACTCCAGCTCGTTTGTAAACTCGACATAGCGAAATTTCAGCCTACAAATCAAAAAAAAAAAGAAAAAAAAGAGTGAATTTAAAGCAAATTTAAAGCAAATCACGAAGTTCATGAGAAAACATTTAATTTAAATTAAATTAAAACCTTTTGATAGCGCTCAGTTTCATGATGGGGCAATCGATACTCGTTCATAATCCAGCTAGTACGGATACCCTTAGGAGCCTTCCCGGAGTAGAAAACAAGGGTTTTCTTAAGGCCAATGGAGCGTAAATCCTCGGTGCGGATCATGCGGTCCGCCCCGGTGGCCTTCCAGTAACCGGAGGTGGTAACACGGTTGGGGCGGTCTCCGTTCCGATACTTTCGGTCACGAGGGACGTAGAAGAACCACTCCTTCTCTCCAATGGCAGCCAAAGCTGAAGAAGAAATAAGACCATGATATTAAACTGTATTCCTTAAATTAGCACACAATTAGAGAGGGAAATTGAGAATTGGGGTTAAAGAGAGGAGAAAAGAAAAGGAGGTACCGGGAAGCTCCCAAGGGTCGTAACGATAGAGATCGAGAAAAGTGATGAGTTCGACATTAAAGCGTTTGCCCTCGACCTTACGGCGGAGGTAGAATTCGACGAGCTCTTCTTCGGTGGGGTGGAAGCGGAAGCCAGGCATCACGACGTCGTGCTCGTGTTGATCGTGTTCGCTGCTGTTGCTGTTGCTGTTGCTGTTGTTGTTTTTGGTGCTGCTTACTTCGTGGCTCATCGTTGATGAACTGCTGCTGCTTGCGGCAGCTGCAATTGCCATAAAATTCCTGATGAAAACAATCTCTCTCTCTCTCTCTCCCTAGAAAGCTGTCTTTTTTTCTTTTTTCTCTTCTTTTTCAATTTTCTCTCTCTGGTATGGATGTATGTGGGCGTAATTATATATATAAATATATATATCTATATATATTTATTTATATATTTGTGAATGAGAGCAAGTGGGGTAAACACCAAGATAAGAATATGGAGAAATATACATATGCATATCTATACATATTATACAAATACATTCATACATACATACATATATATATATATGCATACATTATATATGTATGTATGTATTAAAGTTCTCTCTTTATAACCCAGAAATGGGTTCTCAATTTTATTTTATTTTTATTTTTTTTTTGTGGAAAAGGGAAAAAAGGGTATATTTGGAATTGAGTGATGTTTTTAACAAATTTTGGTAAAAAAAACACATGGTTTTAATTTGATGGGTAAATGTTAAAATTAATTATTAAGAAGAATGGGTTTGAAATGACTTTTTTATGGGATAAAAATATTATATTTAAAATGATTTCCTAATTTTAGAGAAAAAAAAAAATTAAAATTTATATTTTTTTCTCAACTTAAAATAAAAATTAGAATTTCTTTTTATGTCATATAAGTTTATTGCCGGCTAATAATCCGAAGAAAAATATGTGACCATAGATTAAGTGGAAAGAGAGATAAAAAGAAAGGAAACTCTACCGGACTAAGGATGGACCTAAGCTCATCAGCTATAGAGAGTAGGGATAATCGTCCAAGTCTCATATTGTAAAAGAAAAAAAGTGGCTCCGCTACAACAAACGGGTTGGTTCCTCTGTTGTCGTTGGGTAACTCTTGGTGAGGAGACTTTAGGAAAAGTTGCTAAAACAAACGGGAGGGTAGGATCGACCGGTGCAATGAACTTTTGTGGCTAAATAAATATATTTTTATGGGTATTAATTCTTTAATAGAATAATTTCGATTCATATTGTTATTTACTTGCATCTCTCTTAACATAAGATTAAAAACTTTGTAATAATAATTTTAATATGGTGTGGATTTATATAACTTTTTCTTAGGTTATTCAAATATATGCCTTCGTACCTTCGAGGAGGCTTGACTCCTTTTGGAGTCCTTTGTTCGACATTTAAGGATTTGTCAATCTATTGACACGGCTAAGTTTAGGGCATGGCTCTGATACCATGTTAGACGAACACGACTCTCCACAATGGTATGATATTGTCCACTTTGAGCGTAAGCTCTCATGGCTTTGCTTTGGGCTTCCCCAAAAGGCCTCATACCAATGGAGAGTGTATTGCTTTGATTATAAACCCATGACCATTCCCTAAATTAACCGATGTGGAACTTTCATCATCCAACACTATGTTTGGCTAACTGAAAGAACTTGTGTTAGACTGTGACAATAGTCTTCACTCTTAGAACCGAGAAGTAAATAATGTAACCATGTTGCATTATAGATGCAAAATCTAAGACATGAAGCATTACAGTTTTTAGTTTCTTCTTTTTCATTTTTACTCGTTTGTCGACTGTCGTTAAAGGTCGTGTAAGGTAAATACGTCCCTAATTAATTTTTAAAATGAATTTAAGGATTACAATAATTATGTGAGACAAGTATTATGTAGGTGGGGGATGCATATTTGAATTTATATACACAGCTAAAATAGCTTACATATAATGATAAATAAATAAATGAAAAATAGAGAGTCAAGAGGAACCCGTGACTAAGCTCTCTTCTTCACATTCATGGCATTGATATGACAATTTTACACCTAAGCTTTTGCTAATTTCCACACATTTTCCGTACAATCTTTGCTGTATTCAAATATCTGATAATCAATACCTTAATTAATTATTTGATTATGCATCGACATTAAATAATTATTTATAAATTATTTGTAACTACTCAAGCTCACCGCTAGTAGATATTGTCCACTTTAACTTATGACATACTACCATCAGCTGGTTTTAAAATACTTATACTAGGAAGAAGTTTCCACACCCTTATAAGATAAGAAATCAATTTCTATTTTATCATCAATTTAAACCGTTTCATCTACCTTGTCCCCATCGTTGACTTGCTCGCTCGATCCTTCCCGCTCCCTCGATCCTCACACGATCTCGATCTCTCTCTTTAAATTAGGAGAGTTTGGTTGTGCATATGGAGATGGGTTCGGCTTGTTATGTAAAAGCCAATTGGTGTCGCATTAGAAGACTTGAGAGAACCACACGGGTCTTTTGATTTAACCCAAAAAAAACAAACGCCAATTTGAACCAATTTTGTTTTGTTTTGTTTTTTTATTTATTTTATTATTATTTTAATTTTTCTCTTTGTCGTTCATAAAATTAGGGCTTAGCTGTCGTCTAAGATCTTACGCATAAATCATCAATCAATCCATAAGATTTTTCTACTTAAAACCGCGTAATTTCTCGATCAACAGATCTAGAGTTTAATTTTAATATATTGGTTAATTCTATCTTATAATATTCCATTTTAAACGTAGAAAAATAATATTTAATTACTAAAATCCCCGGTTAAAATTCATAGAGTAACGAACTAAATTCATAAAGTTTTCATTTACTTGAATTCAATCCAACTCAAATAAGTTCATAACCCAATCGAACCTTAATCAACTTTTCAGATCATTAGATTTTCTCGAACACCTCTAACTATAAGATTAACTATCAAGAGATCATATCTTATAAGACGATAGTTGTAAATCACTACTTAACTTATAATAGCTCAAGTTTACTGCTAGCAGATATTGTCCTCTAACTGTTAGTGAAATGTTTCCACACCCTTATAAAGAATGTTTCTGTGATTATAAGGATGGGAAAATCTTCCCTTAGTTGATGCGTTTTAAAACCTTGAGGAGAAGCTCGAAAGGAAAAGCCCAAAGAGGACAATATTTGCTAGCGGTGGATCTGGGCCGTTACAAATGGTATCAGAGCCAATCACTAGACAATGTGTCAGCCTTCTCGTTGTTCCCCATAGGAGGGTAGACATGAGGCAGTGTGCTAGTAAAGACGCTGGGCCCCAAAGGAGGAGGGTTTGGGGACGGTCCCACATCGATTGGATAAAGGAACGAGTGCCAGCGAGAACGCTGGGTCCCGAAGGGGGGTAGATTGTGATGTCTCACATTGGTTGGGGAGGAGAAAAAATCACCCTTTATAAGGGTGTGAAAACCTTCCCCTAGCATACGCGTTTTAAAGTCTTGAGGGGAAGTTCGAAAGGGAAAGCTCAAAGATGACAATCTCTGCTAGCGGTGGATCTGAGCCGTTACAGTTTCCTTCCACTCTCGAACCGATGTGAGATCTCATATTACTATTTAAGTAGCTTCCCGTTGTCACACACCGAAATATGTTACTCGTATTTTTTTTTAAACCAATGTATTATGAATTAATAATTGTTTCATTAATTTGATTAAGCAATGCTAATCTTGAAATTAATGGTTGATCCACTTGTATTTCTACCAACTTGAATGTTGTTGTCTTGACATTAGAATAAATACAAAAAGGGGAGAGGGTCACTTTTGGATTAGTTGAGAATGTATTAATTGCTTAATAAATCAATTAAGTAATTAATTAATTTTTTTTTTCTCTGTGGTTTAGAACCGTTTGGCGGTTCATCCAACCCGCTTGTATCGATATTTATTTATTTTAGGGAAAAAGAAAAAACCATTTTAAATGGAAAAATAAATAATAAATTTTTTAAAAAAAAAAGACAAAATTTAAGGTTGGACAAATCACCGACCAATATCAGAATAACATGTTTTCTTTCCATTTGCATTGCCATTTATTTATTTATTAAATTTTTGTTTGATATATGGAACAAAATATCTATCTATCTATCCCCAAGTGTCTCGCTCATTTTGAGGGGATCGACTAGATCAAGACTAGAAGAGATGATCTCTAGGATGAGAAGAAATTGAATCCATACACTCGATTCATTGCTTCTACCCCTACCCGATGCAGCCAGCTCGAGACCCAAACTCGAATTTCAGCCACTGAAGTTCAGATGTAGCCTGACGACTGAGTGAAGGTTGGGAGTGTGCTGTTCGGATACAATCTAAAATGATCTCACATTCTAGAAAGAATCAGACAATGGGAAGCCTTCGTTGAGTAATGGAAAGTGGATTAGTCCTCGAAAAAGCCTTGCCAACTATAAGAAATAGTTCTCAGTAACGTGGTCAGTCAGCGAGCAGGAGGGAGGGAAGCTTACCTAGACTTGTTGTCCGGGTGGATTGCTATGTCGATAAAATATCGAGACTAAATTTATAATTAATTCTCTAATAATTGTAATGATTTTTTTTTATATATATAAAATGTATGTGTGGATCAGAATTAGAACGGGAACGGGACGTTTTTGTCGATGAAAAATGCTTAACATCTTTGATTTTGATTTATGGATGAAAATTAAGAAAAGGATTTTCAACGCTCGTAGACATTAGATAAAACAGATTTCCACTTTACGTATTAGTTTATAACATTACAAAATTTCTCTTTTTTCTTTTACAATTGCGCATATCAAATCTTTCTTTTTGAATGATTAGTTTTGTTTATCCTAAAAATCAATATCTTAATTTATATGACGGTTTTCATATTGACATGTCATTCTCGACCCGAATTTGAGTGGTTATATAAATTTTTGTTTTTTTTTTTTTTTTTTTTTAAATTTAGTTTTTAAATGGGAAGATATTAGTTTAAGTATCAAATTCAATCATTTTCATTACATTTATTAGAAATTTACTAAAAACAAAACGACCCACTTATTATTATTTATTATTTCGATATTATTTTTGTTTTGAAAAATGACTTTGATAAACTCTAATCTAATTATTTATTTAAATGTTAAATAGTTTTGTTAGATCCCATATCGACTCGGAGGAGAACAAAACACCGTTTATAAGAGTGTGGAAACTTCTTCCTAGCATACTCATTTTAAAAACCTTGAGGGAAGCTCGAAAGGAAAAGCGCAAATAGAACAATATCTGCTAGTGGTGGGTTTGGGTCATTACAAATGGTATTAGAACTAGACACCAGGCAATGTGCCAACGAGTAAAGAGTTGCAATTAGAA